ACAGAGACACAACAAAAAAAGAAAATTTCAGGCCAATATCCCTGAAGAACATCTATGCGAAAATCCTCAACAAAATACTGGCATACCAATCCAGCAGCACATCAAAAAGTTTATCCATCACAATCAACTCGGCTTCATCCCTGGGATGCAAGGCTGGTTCAACATATGCAAATCAATAAATGTAATCCATCACATAAAGAGAACCAATGACAAAAACCATATGATTATCTCGATAGATGCAGAAAAGGCCTTCAACAAAATTCAACAGCACTTCATGCTAAAAACTCTCAATAAAACTTGATATTGATGGAACATATCTCAAAATAATAAGAGATATTTATGACAAACCCACAGCCAATATCATACGGAATGGGCAATACCTGGAAGCATTCCCTTTGAAAACTGGCACAAGACAAGGATACCCTCCTCACCACTCCTATTCAACACAGTATTGGAAGTTCTGGCCAGGGTGATCAGGCAAGAGAAAGAAATAAAGAGTATTCAGTTAGGAAAAGAGGAAGTCAAATTGTCTCTGTTTGCAGATGACATGATTATATATTTTGAAAACCCCATTGTCTCAGCCCAAACCTCCTTAAGCTGATGAGCAACTTCAGCAAAGTCTCAGGATACAAAATCATTGTGCAAAAATCACAAGCTTTCCTATATACCCCTAACAGACAAACAGAGAGCCAAATAATGAGTGAACTCTCATTCACAATTACTACAAAGAGAATAAAATACCTAGGAATACAACTTACAAGGGATGTGAAGAACCTCTTGAAGGAGAACTACAAACCACTGCTCAAGGAAACAAGAGAGGACACAAACAAATGGAAAAACATCATGCTCATGGATAGGAAGAATCAATATCATGAAAATGGCCATACTGCTGAAAGTAATTTTTATTTTCAATCCTGTCCTCATCAAGCTACCATTGACTTCTTCATAGAATTGGAAAAAAACTACTTTAAATATCATATGGAACCAAAAAAGAGCCCACATGGCCAAGCCAATCCTAAGCAAAAAGAACAAAGCTGGAGGCATCACACTGCCTCACTTCAAACTATAATACAAGGCCACAGTAACCCAAAACAGCATTGTACTGGTACCAAAACAGATACATAGACCAATGGAATAGAACAGAGGCCTCAGAAATTATACCATACATCTACAACCATCTGATTTTTGACAAACCTGGCAAAAACAAGTAAAAGAAAAGGATTCCCTATTTAACAAATGGTGTTGGGAAAACTGGCTAGCAATAGGCATAAAATTGAAACTGGATTCCTTCCTTACACCTTATATAAAAATTAACTCAAGATGGATTAAAGACTTAAATGTAAGAGCAAAAGCCGTAAAAACCCTAGAAGAAAACCTGGCAGTACCATTCAGGACATAGGCATGGGCAAAGGCTTCATGACTAAAACACCAAAACCAATGACAACAAAAGCCAAAAT